TTAAACCCATTCCCAATTACCTCAATTTTAAAGATAAACATGTCCACATACATGATTATATTTAGAGAGGGACACGTACACCCCCAAATATACTTGTATTCTAAGCTCACTATTGGATACTCTCTTTTTCACCCCTTTTATGATTAACAAAAATTGATACCCACATTAACCTTGATTATTTAATTAAATATTTTTGTTACTCAGTAGTAGAGTCTCAGGATATGTTAAATGTTCATTACGCCGCATTTTTGAGAACTCATTTTCCCTTATATAATTGTTTTTTATGTTGCATTTTGAGGATTTAATCGTTTTTTGTTATTTACGTAAAATTCAATTAAGTGTTATATGGTGAGCTCACATTACTATTTTTAATGTTATTTATGATATTTTAGCATATTTTGATACCGTTAGAAAGTAACATTTTAAGATGGATCTAATTTTATGGGATTTGAGATTTGAGAAACTAAAATAAAAATGAACCAAAATTTCAGAAACAAAAAATTATATTAATTCTTAACTATAAATTAATTTTATAAATAATATTTGTTATCATATGATGTATCGGCCCGGTCCTGCAACATATAATTGTCTGCGTGCAGGTCAAAAAATCATAATTGTCTGTGTTCGCCTGGGAGACCCGCTGAGAGCTACTCATCATCATATAAAATATTTATAAAATAATATCATTATAATTGGTAAATTTTTGCGGAATCTATTCCATGTGATATTATACTAATTTAAGCCAAATTATAAAAAGTAAGAAGTAAATTCTGTACACATATTATTGGAAGTAAATCCTTGAGAATTATTCCAATGTGAAATACAAAATCACAAAAAAATAAATAACACAAATGCTTTATTGAAAATTAATTAATACTCCAAAAATTGCACTACCTTCTTCAACTATAAATGCAAACTCATTGTGCAGACGCATCACAAGAAGATAAAACATGGCCAAGTCTTTGATTGTGGGAGCTTTTCTTGTTCTTTTGATGTTTTCAGCTTCAGGTGAGAGAACCTTTCACTTTTGTTGTGGTTTGTATAATTTTTACATTGATTAGGATTTTTTTAATCAATATCAGTATTTTATACGATAAATTATTTTTTTACCTTCAAATACAATAAACTATTTAGTAGTTTGTTTAACTATTCTTTTTGTTATTTATTTGTGGCCCACATGTTTCTTTCCACTAAAATAACATAGAATGAATATGCAGTGATTGTGGGGATACCCATGTTGATTTTCTCGTTTTATTAAGAAAAGGGACAAGAGAAAAGCTTTATGACATGATGATATCCCATGCACACAATCATGTTAATACTTAGCATATTAGAATTTAATGGATTTAATTTTTACCGAATTATTCATGACTTTTAATGTTAAATTATGATTATAGATGTGTGTTCGTTTATTCAAGTTAGAATAATTAATTATTTGTGAATGATAAAATATACCAATATGTTAATTTTCTATTTGTATAAATAGTATAATCAAAATAAAAATATATAAATTTAACCAGCTGTATGAAATAAAAAGGTATTATTCAAAGCTAAACAGGAGCTATTTTTTGATGCATTATTTATAATGTAAGTTTCATTATCCCTTGTTTTATGTTTTATACAAAATATATAAAATTGATTAACAAGAATATCATATTTGCAGCTTTGGACTATGAAACCGAAGATGCAGAAAGCAAGCTCAATATACGATGCAGAGATGGCTTTGATTGCCCAGGCTGTCCTTGCATCAATAAAAAATGTGTTTGTGGAGCTTCCCCTCAACTTGAACAACGCATGATTCAGAGCCCACCAGTGTCTCAAAACAACAAATAATCCCTTATTGACTCTTTTGTTGGGGGTTCTCATGTTTATTGCATAAAATAAATATATGTTTGGCGGTTGAAAAGAAGTGTATCCCTTATAAAAGAAATATTTATGGAGAGGAATATCTTATAAGCTTGAGTTGACTCTCTAAGTTTAATTTTTTTTAATTTTCAATTTATTAAATCATGTCATAAATGCGATTGAATTTATGAGTTTACTCAACGAGTTTATCATTTTTACACTTTTAGCTTATAAAATCGTATCTATTCGCTTTTAAACTTATATTAAGTCTTTTAATTTAATTATGTTTAGTGACTTTATATATAAATTTTATAGAAATTTCTTTGTTGAATATAGTACATAATGAATGTTAATATATTCAATTTTAATTATTTGAATTCAAAATATATTTAAATAAAATCATTGTTATTTTTTATATTTGATTATTTAATTATATATTTTTAATACCAATTTATTAAAACTCTTACAAGTTTAAAATTCAAATTTATAATCCAAATTTATATTTCTATCATGAATTTGCTCAAACTTGTGAATTTGACAAGCTTGTTAAATAATACTCCCTCCGTTCCTTATTATAAGAGACGAATAACCGAATTACGTTGATAAAAAAAATAGTTAAAATTAGTTAAGAACAATTAATATGTAAAAAGTATAATTTTTTTTCCAAAAATGCCCTCATTAAACATGAGAGAGAACAATGGTAATTTATTAAAAAAAAGAGAAGTGGGAATGAGAGAGAGTGTGAGTTGGAGACAATAAATATGGGTAAAATAGGAAATCAACACAAAAAAGTAGAGACAACTTTTAAGTGTTTCTTATATATAGGAACATGCCATAAGCACCAAATGTCTCTTATAATAAGAAACGGAGGGAGTATACAAGTTGTGAATTCTCAAGTTTTCAATAAGTCATAATTTATGTTTTTTGAGCTGTGTAAAATTAGTCGTAAGTTTCTAAAGTCGTGCCCAAAAATTTGCCAAGCAAACTGCATGGCATGTTCGTTTCGGGAGATATATGATTAAACCTTATTTTCATACTTTTAAGTTTTAGTAGCTCAAAGTTTACTTGTTTTTAATCTGTTTTTTCTTAAAGAAACTGCAAGATCGAGCACAATAATTTCTTAAATTAATTGGCAATTTCTCTGAAAAAACACATTTATACTCATGTAAAATTACAAAGTCGTTACATCTTAAACTTGCATCATACCCATTATAACAAAATAGTACAAAGAAATTGCAATCAAAGTTATTATCATGACAAAATACTAAAACATAAGTATCAAAATACTGCATTAAAAACTTGGCCCATTTCACACACACACACGCACACATTTCTGAAACAGGGTTGTTATCCTTTGCCTCAATTTTTGTGTTGTTCATACATTGTTTCCTGAATCCTGTTTAAACCAAGAGGGTATTGTAGATTTAATTTTAATTTTCTCGAAAGAGAAAGCAAAAGAAAAATGTCAATTTCTCTTCTTTTCTTTTTTTTGGCAGAGTCAAGTTCTTGTATCTTTTGGAGAGAAAAAGACCTTAACATGGTACACCCTGGCCCTTTTTGTAAGCAATTTTAGACTAAATTATGCAAATCAAAGAGTTAGTTAAAATTAATCAAAGTTAATAAATATTAAAAAAGTTGGAATTATTTTTTAAAATACCCTTATTTATGAGAAAAATATAAGAAAGATAATAAAAAATTATTATAATAAAAAGAGCTATGAGAGAGAATCTACGGTGGGGAGAGATTATAATAAAACATAATTTTGAAAATATTTATTATTTAGGAAATGATATTTTAGAAAAAAAATAAATACATTAACTATTAAAATAAGTCTTTAATAGTGGTAAAATAGAAAATTTTTTATAAAAATTTACGACAACTTATAAATATTACTTATATTTAGAGATAAGGGAAGATAGTGATTGTTACTTCTAAAAAAAAGAACCAAGGGAGTAATTATACGAGGATGATTTATTTTTTTCCCCGGGTGAAGGAATGGATGATTGATTTTATTTACATGAAGATGTTGTTTGCAAGTTTGTAAAGCCGGGTTTTTTTTTTTTCAAAAAAAAAAATCCTGCCGGTCTTATGCATAAATAATATTACAATGGTCTATAATGTTACAAAATGGCTTTGGTAGTTCAATGGTCTATAATACTACCTCCGGTCTTTAATATAAGACCCTATTTGACTTTTATTTTGATCCTAAATATAAGACCCCAATCCATTTTGTTTCTCATATTTATACATTTTTTCTAAAGTAATTCTTTTAATAATAATAGTTCTAGTCAATACACTTGATTAATAAGGATATTTTAGGAAAGACAATACCTATTTAAAACAAATAACTAATTCAACTTACTTCCTTAATCTCCTCAAATTAGTCAACTGGTTCTTATAATTACGACCGGAGGTAGTATTACAAAATAAAAATTACTTCCTACTTTATCAATGTTTCACTCCAATTTTACCGATCGTCCCCATGGGACCCTACTTTATTAATGTTAATTATAATTTTTATAACGATTTTTCACAACTCTATTAAATCATTTTTCATATTATTTGACACCTTTTTAAACATTCATAATGTGATTAAAACTCTTTTAACTATATTATTTATCTTGTGTTTTTCATATTTTTAAACTAAGTTTTTTTAATATTCATAATGTATTTGACAATTTATAATAATATTTACAACTTCACGTCATTAGTCACATTATATGACCAGCTACTAGAGAAAAATTTCATGAATGAGAAAAATATTATAAACTTATTAACATTTAAAAATTTTAATTTAGTCATGATGATTGATTTGAAATTTTAGAAATTTAGATTTCTTTTGGTTTTGAAATTCAAATACTCGTGGGTTCCTAATATTTTTCCAACCCTCATGTCTTTTAATGAATATTTTCTCACTCTTAACAACCCCCCCCCCAAAAAAAAAAAAAAAACCACCTGCGGAATTTGGCATCCGTTTTCCCGTACAAATTACTCAAGTCCCTAGTGCATGAGGGGGCCATTGTAGTCAACTGTATGAGGAAGAGAAGCCTTAACCTCTCTTCCTCTCCCCTCCCCTTCCTTTAATTAATCTCCCCTCCCCTCCCTTCCGTTGAACCAAACAAAGCCTTAGCTGCGAGTGTGCTAAGTTAACGAGTATGGCTTCGCCGGAGCCCAACGATGAAGATCGTATTGTAGAGCTAGTCGTGCGTGATGCCCTGATTCGGCCGGCGATGCTGATGCTTTTGCGGTTTCGGAGGACTTTGCCCTTTGCTCGCGCAGCCTGAAAGACCCAGGATCAATATCTTCACCCTCTCTTATCCCCGAAGAAAATCCAGAGTAATTTTTAGTTTTTTTTTTTTTTTTTTGTCTTTTTTCTGTTTGTCATCAAGTCTTCTTCGAGATTTTAGTTTAGAAAGTTGAATTATACGTAACTTTGAGAATGTGACTGTCAACTTAAGAAAAAAAAAAACAAAAGAAAGGAATTTATTGAATTTCCATTTTCCCCAGATAATTCTTTGTGGTTAATTAGTTTGTTAGTGTATTATGAAGCATGATACATCAGTTTTTGTGCAGATAATTTTGTGCGTAGATGATCTCCGTTAGCGTAAAAGTCTGGCGTAGACGATCTCTTCTCACGCTCTATTGATAGAATGATAGAAAAATAAGTCTATTTGCTAGTGGAGAGTCATCTTCACGGATTTTAAATTTTAGAGAGGTTCATTTTGAAGTTTTTAAAGAGAGGGAACTTTATCAGCGCATAACTGAAAATTCAAGGGCGTTAAGTTGCAATTTAACATGAAGGGGGAAAAAAATGACAGTGCGTCCTTTATTTGCGAAGTATGGCTCTGTCTTCAACAGCAGGAATAATTTTTTATAGGATGACTGACAAATTGAGAGGATTGATGGGAAAGGGGCTTTCAGAATATGGGTTTCCACAAATGAGTCGGATGAGTAATTAACTTCTGGCAAGTGACAAAGGGAGTACCTTGCGTTGGTCTATCCTATCAATTGCGTAGGATAAGGACAAAACTAAACTTACTTTGTAAATGACCTTTTTTTCCGTCCTTTTTTCCTTTTCTTGGCCACATGGTGATTTACCTGTTCAAATTCACTTACAACTTACAAGCTACGAAATAAAACAACAAATATTAAACGGGAATTTTTCATTTGAAATGTTGTATTTGCTTTAGATGAATTCGTTTTGTCCTACAATTAGAAGAAAAGATTTGTTTTTAATATTGTCAGACAAATTTGAGAGAAGAAAATGAAGTGGATTTCTGGAATCAATATGGTTGCACGATGAAGTAGCAAGATTACTTGAGTCAGAGCCTTCTTCTTTGAGCCATTTCATATTGTGGGTATGGAATGGATCTAGATACTCTGGTTTACTTTGTATGGTCCTTTCATCTACCACCTGTTTTCTTATGGAAGTTCTTTCCAATATTTTTTCTGGTAGGTTCTTCAGTTCTGCTCTGTATTTTACTTTGCCAGATATTAGCGTCTGTATAATTAACAAAAATGCTAATGAAACATTAATGCATTTCTTTTAAAGAAAAAAGGGATACACAGACCTTTTATGATTATTTCATTTGCTTTTGCTTAGCACTATAGTTATTCAGTCAGTTTTCTTTTCGGCCTGAAGTTATTCAATCAATCTTAAGCACACATATATTTGAAATTTCTGAATATTGTTTTGCCATATTTCTCAATCATGCTGCATCAATCCTTAAATATAGGGCAATTTCTAGAAGCTCTACTTGCCATGAAATACAGGGCAATGCATAGTGTTTATAATGTTTCCCAATTATAACTTTCATTTATTATTACTTCATGTAATCAAGGAGAGTTGTTTTAAAAGAGTCAACTACTTAAATGTAAACATTTATTTCGCTCGAGAGTAAAATTGGAAAGATATAAAATGTGTGAGAAGACTGAGTTTTTAACTAACAATTTTTCGGAACTGCAAAGTAGTTAACATGTTTTATATTATGGACCAGAGGGAGTACCTCCTTTAGATGTGTTTGTGAAGAGAACAGAAGGAATATCTTATCATTGTTATCAGAAATTTAGTTATCATTGAAGAGAACTGATCAAATTGCTTTGTTGACTGAGTAAATTGCTTTGAGAACTGATCAAATTGCTTTGTTGACTGAGAACTGATCAAATATCTTACGTTTGGCACCTGCAAGGAAGGAAGTAGTAGGGAGTATATGTGTCTGCATTAAATTTACGCAAGGTCATGTTTCTAAATTGTCCGATATAAAATTTTAATAGGGATGGGTGCAAAAAAATTTTTTTTTTTTTTTGGGGACATACTTTTCGAACTTCAAGATTCACCATTATCTTGATATAATCACTTTTCTTGTTTGTTCATATTTTTATATTTTGAAATAAATTTCTGATTTGGCAGTCCAGGCAATTCCTTTATCTGAGGCTGCTTTCACAGGATGTACAGTTATGTTGGTACTATCATATATATGGTTGAGAAAGGGTGAACAGCCGCTTTCTGGAACATCCCATGTTAGGAATATTTTGATTTCAAGAGCCCTTGTAGGCTGTTTGTCTTTGTCAAGTTTTGTAGATTGGTGAGTTTTCTTGTTTTATGATTTTTTTAAGTATTTCATAGATCATTCTTGATACTTTTGCCTAATTTCTTCATTGAAGATCTTTTCACTACTTTTTTCCTTAACAGAAGTTATCATAGTTTTAGGATTTAAGGATCATGGATTTTTTTATTGAATATTTTGAGTGTTCCATGGACGGGGGATGGCATACCATAAAAAGCTCTTTGGTTTATACAAATACTGTAATTGTTTTGCTAGCCACCCAATGTGTTATCCAGCAAAAGTATTTGTGAATGTTGCATTGCATTTGTATGTATCTTGTAATTCATAAGTATGAAATGGTAAAGGTCGGAGTCTAGGATGTAATTCTGTCTTAATGCCCTTTAGAATTTAATTAGTTGCAAACTACTGCAATAACAAGAATTCTGTTCTTTTCAGTGTTCAGAGGTTGCCTTTCTCTCAGGCTATTGTATTAAATTTAACGACTCCTATTATGGCATCAATTATGGCTAGGCTCTTTTTGCATGAGAAGTTGAAAATTGCAGATATTGCAGGTAAAACGTTTTAGTTCAGTTCTTAAGATCCAATGAGAATAAATATGTAGATTTTCTGTGTGAAGAACCCAAAAAGTTATAGTTTGGTTGGATGATTTTTAGGTGGAATAACCATCTCCTCAGGTGGTTATCATTTTATGAGTGCTTGTTTCTATACATGTTTTTTGCATTCTATATTCTTGGACTTGTTGTTATCAGATATTTCAAGCTATGCCCATGAATCGTTGCCCTTATTGACAATCCTAGAACTGCATTCGTTAAGCCTTGAAAGTCTTAACTTTCTCTTTGGTTGGGGTTTGTCTATTTTCTTTCTATCCCTGTATTTTGTATGCAAAGAGGAATCATAACCATTATGTGACTAACAATAAGATATTTTATATAAACATAGCCATTATTGCGAAGGAAAAAAAAAATGTACTAAAATATTCTGAATCAGTAAGCGACCAGTAATTGTTAGATGAGTCTTGGGCCTTGGCCCATATTTATGCTTAACCTAGTTCTAAGTTTTCTTTGTTTAGTGGTTGTTAGTTGTTCAAACTTTATTACTTGTTATTATTTCCAATGTACTTACTGCTTTGTTTATTCTGTTTGACTTTGGGAGTGAATCATTTATTGCTAACTGTTATGGTCCTCACATTATGTACCCATCTCTTTTTCTTCAGTCAATATAGAGAAATACAGAATTTTGTTTTCCTGCGGTAATGATTGATTATTTATTGTCATTAGTTCAGGCCTCGCTTGCAGTTTCTTTGGTGTGCTCTTCTTTTTCCACGACATGCTTGCTACAAAAGGTAGAGCAGCTTCCGCTCTCAGTTTGGTGAATATATCTTTTTTTTTTTGGGTATGATTTATGAATTTGAATATTTGTTGTTCCTTTATGTTATAGTTGGTTTGCACAATTTAGATTTGTGAATGTACTGGGTGAGAATGTCCTAGACTTTGAGAATGCCGAGATCTATCGGTTTCTCTAGTTCTAATCAAGTTTCTTATGTTTTTATTTACTTCTTATAATTGAGAGGAATAATCTGCATTTTATTCTTTGATGATTCAGTAAGAACTGTAATTCAGCTTAACTACTCTTTCTATTTTTTGAATTTCAGGACACTTAGTTGAAGCTGAGGAAGAAAGTAGTGCAAATTATAAAGGAGGTCATGTATTTGCATTATTACTTGGTCTCGTTTCATCAATTACTGGTGGAAGCAGCTACTGCCGTATAAGGGCTGCAGCAAAAGCTTCTGATCAGCCACTATAAGATCATAAAGTTGTTTGCTGGTATATGCTTGTCATTATTATTTTCCTGGATGTAGATGCTCTGACTCACAAGCTTTTTGGGTGCTAGAAGAGGATCAAATGCAAAACCCTTTACCCTCAGCAGAATGTCAAAATCCGACAAACTCATTGCCAAGCTATTAACTTTATTTTCGTTGCCGTTCTTATTGTAGGCAATGTCCTAGGATGGCCTAAAACTTTGTTCCAAATTCTTTTGATTTATAGTTTACAATTCTTTTAGAATCTTTCGGATATACATGGAACACTAGAGTATGGGGAAAATCTCTCTGATACTGCTATGGGTTAGGCTAGCAACGGTCCTGCTGTCAAGTCCAAGACACGTGACATGATTACAGGGGAGAAATAAAAGCAAGACTTTAAAACCATCTAATCCCTAAAAATCTGCAATGTGATGATCTAGACAGGAAAAGAAGTTAAAAATTTAAATCACTAAACAGCATAATTGCGGGAATAATATGTCATTGATATATGCTTAATTTGGAAAGGTTAAGATTCATGGGCAAGTTAGGCAACAGGAATGCTAACCTGCCAGGCTTTTGGGCTGTAGCCTGGATAGAATACTTCTTTGGACCGAAAAAACTGGAGCTCATGATTGTTGCACTGTTGCAGTATTTCGTAGCGGAAAAAGGGAATGAAACTTTACAAACAGGGGGCCTGTTATTTCTCAGTAAGAGTTGGAGTTATGTTACTTTAGCGTTGAAAACAAATCCAAGTTAATTAGCTATATTGATAACTTGCCAAGATTCACTTATTTGATAACTTTGGAGTCAAACAATTTACAGCAAGCAATGTCTGGTATGGCGGATTTTGGTATGCATGTTGCTGACCATGTTCCACAGATATGCTGACAAATTAAAATTTGTTACTCTGCAGTGCAATTCTTGTGACTCCAAATTGATGTTGGACAGAAAAAAATTTACTCTTTAATGTAGGGTAGCTAGAAGCACATTTGATTATAAAAATTGTTTCATGTTTTATCTACCCAAAGAGATACTAATATTCAGTGAAATAGGAACTAATTGAGTAATTCAGAGAGTTTTTATAAGTTCTCTGACCTCTGAAATTCTGCCATCTTCCAGGGTAACTGTCCTTGCATTTAGCATGCTGGCTAGCCCAGTGACGGCTGTATGTACATTCTTCTTTGAGGTAAAGTCATGGTGCACTTAAGCTACTATTTCAGGGACAGTGCTATGGTATACTACCACCAAGCCTTTGGTAATCTACACTAGGTGGATGCTGGTAATAAATAATTGGTAACCAGGGAAAAAAGAAAAGCAGATTCCATGAAATGCCTGATTTATTTTCCTCCATTACTGTGCCAACATTTCTAAATCATCACTTAGTATAGCTTTTTTTTTTTTTTATATATAAAGGCAAGCAAGAAGCTTGAAAGTTACAAAAAGCACCTCGGGTTACTGACCCGTTTGTCCTTGACTAACATCAAAATACTCCCTACAATAATTCGGGATATCCTGTAAAAATATATACTCTTGCTCAATATGATGAGCCATCCTAGCAAGCTTATCGGCACATCCCAAATTTTCCCTGAATGAGTGCAGTATTTCAATGTCCCATTTATCAAATATCAGATTTCTCAAGGCTTGTACCGTCTCCCTCAGAGGATGTGAGGGCTCACAATCGGTCAGAAGTAGGTGAAGGGCTTCAGCCGAATCCGTGTATAGCTTTATTTTACTATACCCCAACTGTTTGCAAAGTTGCAGTCCAGTCAGCATAGCGTGGATCTCCGCAGCTGTTGAGGGCATGGTTCCCAACTTCCTTAGAAATCCACCCTTCCACTGACCTCGATAGTCACTAATAAAACCTCCACAAGTTGTCGCACCTTCTCTTGATTTGGACCCATCCACATCGATTCTGATATAATCAGGAGGTGGGAGATTACGTTGTGTGGTACTCCTCTCTGGAACCTGGTAAATCTGGTGTCGAAATTTTTCTTGTTGTATCTCCTCCATTAGGTGGTTCAGGATCTTGAACATTTGGTCCTTTGGCCGAGTAGTCTTTTCCCCAAATGCTTTCTTACATCTGTTCTTTCAGATGGCCCAACAGACTTGTCCAAAGATTCGACTCCACGGCCATCTGGAAAATCTTCCATTTGCTGGGTTGTTTTCGGTGTTCCATTTGAGCCATACCTGCAAATCACAGAGAAAGAAAACAGCATAATACAATGGGTTAATTATATGCAACCACACTCTTTTTGCTGCCTCACAATCTCTCAGTGTATGTAATATAGATTCTTTGCAACCACACTCAAATGGGCATTCCTCATTTTCGCTATTTAGGTGTTTTGCTCTGATTCCATTCATAGGAATTCTCTCATGGAAAACCTGCCACATGAAAAATTTTGCTCTTTCAGGAATTCCCCAGCGCCAAATTCGCTTCCACATAGGATTTATATTTCTATTCTGCTTTTCATAGATCATCCTATATGCAGTCCTAACATTGAAATTACCATCAGTGGCATTTCTCCAGCATATCTTATCCTCGCCCCTCCCTGTTGGTGGTCTGATCATTTTGATTTTCTCCAGCACCCAACTAGGGAAGCATTCACCCCATCTATTCAGATTCCATTGGCCATTATCTGTCACAAAGTTCCTCACCGGTTCATCTGGATTTATTTGGTGGAGGTTTCTATTTGCATAGAACTTTAAAGGAAGTTCCAGGGGACTCCACAAATCACTCCAAGCTTTTGCTGTTTCTCCACTCTGTAGTTGGAATCCCACGCCTTTCAGGAACTCTTTCCAAACCAGTGTTATCGCCCTCCAAACTTCAGATTGGTTCCTTTTTTGATTGACTTCTGGCATCCTATTCTCCCCACAATCATATTTCGCCTTCAAGCATTTGACCCACATTGCTTGGGGTTTTGTAAGAAATCCCCAGCATAGTTTCATGATGAAAGCCACGTTTTGACTATGTAGATCTTTGATTCCAAGGCCACCTTCCTCTTTACTCTTTTTAATCACGTCCCAAGCCAAGAGATGAAGTTTTCTACCTCCATTTTCGTGATTCCAGAAAAAGGTTCTACTGATTTTTTCCAGTTCAGCTAGAATGCCTTTTGGGAGTAATGTTGTTTGCATTTGGTATGAAGGGAGTGTTGAGATAACCGAATTGATGAGTATTGATCTCCCTGCCAGGCTCAGGAATCTCCCTTTCCAGTTTGCCAGTCTTGATCTCACCTTCTGAAGTAAGGGAGCGAATATCGTCTTGGTTACTCTTTTGTGTAGGATTGGTACACCCAAATATTTTCCGAGGTCCTGCGTAAGGCCAATCCCAACCATCTGGCTCAGTTCGTAAGCTCTGTTAAAGTTTACATTTCGGGAGACAAAAGCCTTTGACTTGTTCAAATTTATTTTGTGGCCTGAAACCTGACAGAAGAAATGCATGATGTTTCTCATTTCCAACATCTGATCTGTTGACGCTTCTCCGAACAGAATCAAATCATCAGCAAAGAAAAGATGTGAGATGATTGGTCCCCTTGTACTCAGTTTCATCGGTTTCCATCTTCCCCTTTCAATCTCATGCTGAATCAGTTGCCCCAGCCTTTCCATGCACAGGACGAATAAGTAGGGGCTTAGGGGATCTCCTTGTCTCACTCCTCTAGATGGTTGAATACTCTCTATTGCCACCCCATTCCATAGGACTCTCATCGAGGCTGTGGAGATGCATTTCATTATGATGTGGACAAAATTATCTGATAGGCCAAGGCTTTTCATTGTGAATTCTAGGAAGTTCCAGTCTAGCCTGTCAGGCTTTTTCCATATCTACTTTTATAGCAATAAATCCTGTCCCACCCCTCTTAGTTCTCATTGTGTGGATCGCCTCTTGCGCGAGTATGATGTTATCACAGCTCTGATGTCCACATATGAAGCTACATTGGTTCTCTTTGATCAGGTACGGCATAACTCCTTTGAATCTGTTTGCAAGAACTTTGCTTAAGATCTTAAAACTGACATTACACAATGAAATTGGTCTGAAGTCTTTCAGGGAGGTAGGTTGTTCTACTTTCGGGATTAAAATTATATGCGTCTGATTCAAGTCCCTAAGAGATTCAGGATCAGACCAGGCTGTGTTGAGTAGCTCACAGATCTTTGTACCTACTTTATTCCACTGTGTTTGGAAGAAGTGGGGTTGTAGGCCATCTGGTCCTCGGGCTTAGTATAGCTTTTTTAACAGTCAATTCTATAACATTTTGCTCTCGGCTATAATTTTTTATTTGGATAATTCTTAAATGGTGCTTTACATCAAATATATTCCCTCTTTAAATACCTTAAATGGATGAATAAAATTATTTCAGTAACCATGGAGGGCAAATAGATGATTTCACGAGTTTCTAGCAAATGATTGATCATTGCTGCGCAGACAAAAGTTTAATTTATATGTCAAAGTTCTAAAGCACTATAGTTTTTTGAGTACCATGACGTGCTTTATATGACATTTGAAAAGGAAAGATGAATATAAGTGAGAACTGAACATTAAAGAATTCACAAATGGTTGTTTTGTAATGCTAATCCAAATATCCACCATTCTGATTAATATAATACTTAGATTTCGGTCATCCTTTCTGCTAGTTATTAGGTAGACTTCTAACTATCACATGAGTAATATGGTGCCACTGCAGGTACAAAAGCTTCTAACTAATTAAATAATTCCTCTTAGAATGCCAATCACTGGCAAAAGAAAAACTTTCATCTTACTAGTGATTAATTTAGTGACTTCAGCAAAATCCGAACAATGATGCTAGTTTTACTTTTGCTGCACTAATAATTTGTATTGATTTTTTTTGCTGTTTATACACGATTTTAGCTACTTAAATTATAGGATCATAGGCTCCTCATGATATGATGCATTCATAAATTCTATTAATCCACGGAATATTTAATACATCATAGCATATTCATTTGTTCATTACTGAGAATATAGAAAAATGTGGGTTCTGAAGTGTCTTTGCAGTCACCTTTGCCCTGGCGTTGGCTACCTCCCTTTAGGATGCATCACATGTGGTTTGGTCTAGCTGGTTATTGTTAGCATTTCACTTATTTTCACCAAATTTCTCAGCCATGATTAATCTGTGTCATCTCTCTTATGAACTTCATTGATACTTCGACAAAATAAAATCGTCTTGTTGGTGCAGGATTTTGTGCTCCCAGGACATCAGTCAATCATACTCATGCTTGTACTTAGTGTTCTCGCTTTCTTTGCTGAGGTACTATTCTAGGCTGTATTATGAACCTGCTTTTTCCACCCTACAAAATTGTAATAGAGAGAGTCAGTGAGTTTCATAACAGGCTCATCGTGCTTATTAATAATTGACTGCATAGAATTTTTTGTCTCTTTGGGGATCATCAGTTAAGGGAAAGTGAGATATTAGGAGCAAAAAGAATATTCAGCACTGTGTTACTCTAATGTATTTCACTATCCAACAATCATGTTACTTGTGTTCTTTTTCTAATATATACTTTTTGTATAAAATCTTGTAACTTCTTCCTTGCTATGCCCGAGGGATATGTAAAACATTGTTCTCTGTGGAATACATTTTTTAACAATGTTGTTCTTAATTCACATTATGTTATGACATTTTTTGGAGAACTACCCGTGTATTAGTTGTCCATTTCATGAAGTCAAAGAAAGAAGTGACCAGCTGTTTCTTCGTTTGAAGTCCCTCAATATTGTCTTATTTGCCATTTATCCAAGTCGTATGATGTGTTTCTTAGACAAGCATGATTATTACGTTCTAAAAATATTCATGTATGAATGGTCTAAAATAGTCCCCCTGTATCGTATTGCCATAATAACAACCTAAATTTAAGGCACCCTAAGTTACGGCTAGCCAATTAAAAGTAGGGAATGAAAGATACTTGCTGAACAGCCATCAGAATAGGATACTAGCATTTTGACCATTCCGCTTGTATGGTTGAAAGGTGACATGGAACTTTTCCGGTCTCCGAAAAAGTTAGTTCAAATCAATTTTCAGACATTCATTATATTTTCCAGCTCTAAGAAAGCAAGTATGCACATTTGGCTTCTAAAAAACATAAAAGAGTATGAAAATGAGCCGAATTGGTGGGAATCTCAAGAGGTTGCCACTTGTGTTCTTTCACTCTGTGACAAATGGTGAAGAATATGTTGAGATCAGTGATGAGTATTTTATTTTATTTTATTTGTGGAATGTACTTTGACTCAAGAGCTTTCTCTTTTACCTGGGGATCTGTTGCAGCAAGACATCAGCTTTTTTTCCCTCCATTGTTTGATGCAGACATAAGTACTGTTTGAATTAATTATATTATGTTAGCTCTACTCTTTTAATATAAAATCCAATTGACTAATTTGAAAAAATTAAAAAAATTACTAAATATAAAATTTTAATCTATTTTGTCTTTTAAATTTATAATTTTTTTTTTAAAATATCCCTATTAGTTGTAATAGTTCTCAACAAGAGATAATTTCAATGCACATAATTAAATATAGTAGTTTAAGGAGTCATACATTTATTACAAATAACCAATTTTATTAATTTTCTTAATCTCTCTAAATTAGTTATCTAACTATTATATTAAACTACTCCTTCGATTTTAAATATAAAACCTTTTTATAGCATAATTTACATTAAAAAAAAGTTTTATATTTAGGACCGGAGGAATATTATATTAAAGAAGGGAGGTAATAGTTTTGGGACGGCAAAGGATAATTGCCCTGCTTGTTTCAACTCTGCTACGCGAACAAATTGCAAGCTAACTCTTCTCCATTTAGCTCGAGCTGAACTAAAATCCTTACACAAGATAGTGATGACGGCTCTGTTTGTGTTTAGAACAAATTTCTCCTCTCTCTCCTGACTAGTGGTTTCGTGGAGCCCAATGCTGAGATGGCTTCAAATGTCATGGACTGCCAGGCTTTTGCCACAGAGGAAATGAAAAACAGAAAGCGATCGATCTGAGGTTGATTCTGGGCATTTTCGTTCAAAGAAGACCAAAATGGTTTCTTTTTGCACTATAGTTTATGTTAAAAAAATGAGGTACATTCCTTAGTAACATTTTGATCTGCTTTTGACAATAACTCTAACCAATGCCACGTGAGATTTCATCTTTTTATTCCCACCTTGTCAACAATCTCTCCATTGAATAGTTAGTCCTCTGTTTTCTCTCTATATATTAATGAAAAATTATAATGAGGTCCCAAGAAAAAAAAATTACAAAACAAATTGTATAGGTTGTCATTTTCTCTCTTTGAAACTTGAGTGTAATTCTCCTTATATTAATAAGCAGAGGTAATATATCGCTAAACAAGGCATTGCCTATAAGGCCCTTCTTCGCCTAGCTAGCCTGTCAAATTTAAATCCTTTACAATTCATTTACCCTGTTTGAAGACATCCGTAGGTATGACTTTATTCACATTTGCATTTTTGGGAAAAATAATGTTATATCATCCTTAGTATTTATTTTATAGGAAATGAGTCCCCATCATTGGTTTTCAGACGTAAGATATTGGACAACGGAGACAAAAAGAAACAGTCAATGAGGAAAGTGAGATGAGTATTCTCTTCATTATTTGTATTGTTGGCTGTTAATATCAAACTGAAGATTGCAAGATAGAGAATACCACTGGAGATTGCGAGAGAAAGATATAATGGTTCTGGTCGAGTTAAATGTAGGATATCAGTATATTTTTCAAATTATAGGGACTCATTTCCATTAAAATATAGGAAGGTTATTCAATTCCAGTAGGAATATTATTAAGTGGAGAGAGCAGCAAAATTTGTTAGATGACATTGATGAATTCCAGCACTTGGTCATTTCACTCACAAGTCACAAAATTTGATAGACGAGACTGATGAATTCCAGCACTTGGTCATTCACTCACAAGTCAAGTGGGTAATTCACTCACAAGTCACAGTGGGTATATTTTAAAATTTCTGTCGTTTAAAATTATGAATACAGATCAAGAAACCTATTTGTCATTTAGATCGTTATTATTCAGCCCAGGAACTTACTACTACCTCCTGTTTTTAACATGACAATTAGTTTGACATTTGATTTAGTTCTAAAGATAATATCTCAATTCACTTTACCTTTCATATTTATCTATTTTTTTTAAGGTAGTCCTTTTAGTAGTTACACATGTAAAATGTTTCATCAAATGGTAGTTCTACTTAATATATATGACAGGCAATAGTATTTTAGGAAAGACGGCACATAATTACTACAAATGACTAACTTAATTAATTTTCTTAATCTATGCAAATTAATCAATTAGCTTCTATATTAAGGACTGGAGAAAGTATTAAAATATTTGTATATTACATTTTATCTTCCTAATTTAGAATTTTTTCCCCCCTCAAAATATGATTATTGATTGTAATTAAAGAGGCCCCCATAGTTCCAAAACATATGATTAAAAATGGTAGTTTAAATGTATAGAAAAAAGATAATTTAGAAAAATCAACACATTTATTATAAATAATAAACTTAATTAATTTTTTTAATATCTTTAAATTAGTTATCTAGCTCTTATATTAAAAAAAACAGAGATAATAATAATTATTCTAAAAAGGAAAAATTGGTTTACCTGTCCTTCACCACCTGGCTCCCTCTTAGGGCATGTTTGGATTGTAGTTAGAAACTGCAAAAGTGTCTTGGAATCTGTGAAACTGAGGTTGCAAAATTGAGTTGGACAAAAATTGTTATTTAGTTGGGCTAACATTTTCAACCAACTTTTGACTTTTAACCTCAATTGGACTTAAAAGAAAAAAAAAACTGACTTTTCAAACTGCAGTTTCAAACAGTTATTATTAAAAATGAGTATCCCAGATTTACCCTCACATTTTCTCCTCTGCCTCATATCTTTCATTAGTATAACGAGTTTTTATTCAGACCAAATGAATTTTAATTTATATTCATGTTTGTCCATTATGTAGATTTAATTAATTATCTATAATGTGTTTTCAAATTTTTCTTTGTAACAAATATTTTTATTTTATAATTTCACAAATAAACTATTTATATTTTATCATAGTAATTTTACGTATTTTTAAAATATTATCATATTAAAAATATAAAATTTCAAGCACTAATATTCAATAAAGTTCATTCCTTTTCAGTCATTTTACAACTAAACTAACTTTTCTATTAATCATTTAAACAACTTTCAACTTTTTCAACTGACTTTTTAAAAATACCTATCCAAATATACTCTAACTGACTTTTACTTTAACTTCAGTTACAAAAGTCAGTTGAGCTAGAAATCAGTTTTGTCTAATACCAATCCAAACATGCCGTTAATCATTATTCACCACTAAATTGGTTTGGCCTTTCAGTTTTCTAAGGAAAAGCTTTTGAGTTTTAGAATTCTCAAGGGTTGTTAGTGTTTCTTTTTGATTCACATTTCCACACGCCCTTGGTCTTTCGGTGCAAAGCACTCCAAAAGCTACTTTTAAGTCTCCAACTTTTATTTGTCAGATGTGCGACCTCTATTTTTATTTTTTTCCCCCTCCTCATTACAATTTAAAAATGAAAAGGTTTGTTAAATAGTTTACATGGGTATTAAATAGTTTAAAAAATTATCATATTAACTAATTTTTTTGGTAACACATTTAATTGAGAGAATTATAATAAGGTTCCAATAAAAGAATAACTACCAACATGTCCCACTAACAAGTTAAAAAGTTGTTATTTTTTACTCTAAAACTTATTATTACAAACTGTTTAAGTTATTGTTTAGACTTATTAGTAATAATATATCTTTCTTGGAAGTTAATTGCGATTCCTCCTATTTAATTTTGAATTGACGTAGGTTTTTGGTTTTAGAAAAAATTGTAATTGTAACAAAGTCCCACTCAAAAAAATTTAATACAAAAAAGTACTTTAAAATTATCAAATAATTCTAAAAACTCAAAGAATCTCATTGTAAGAGTTTTTTTTTTATTTGTTTAACTACTAAATTTTTTTTTTTAAGTATGCGGCTATCTTCTTTTTTGCTTGAACTTAACCCTCAAATGTAATAATTCTAGGAAAAATATCAGCAAAATAATTAATATCTAAATGTTCTTGTAAGCATTGTTTGAATTGTGAGACTTGTAATAATTTTTATAAGCCAGCAAGAAACTTGTCATAGATGCTATAAAGGAAAAAGGGTGGATAAAATGATGTGAGGAAGAGGAGAAAAGTGTGAATGGAGCGATGATAAAAATTGAAGAGACGGGGAACATGGATGTGTAAGAAAAGGAAAAAAGAAAAGAGGGTAACTTTAATTAAAAAGAGGGGGGGGGGAACGACTTTGATTGGAATGCAAATGGAGAGAGGGGCAATGATAAAAGGGCCGACCCACCAATGACTGGAGATGATGAGTCCCACTTTGCTGGGCTCTCCCTTGGTTTTTTTTCATTACTTACTCCATATATTGACAACACATTTTATTGAGAATGAGAAAAATTTTAAAATTTATTAATTTTGTGTTAAAGTTTGATAATTCTCCAAATTTAATCCTATTTAACATGAAGGAATGAGTGAGAATTAAGAAATAAATTTGAAGTAAAATTATATATTTATTTAATCAATTTTATGTGACCATTTATAGTATTAAGGAAAAAAAGATACCGTGTATAGGACGGGAGCTGTTGTGGCATTCCAATTTCCAACTATGAATTTTGCTATTGCCTGCCAATTGCCGGGTTATGATTGCAGTCTCCAAAAGAAATTTTAAATCTGTACCTATCCCTTTCCCCTTAAAGTTTACACCTGTTTGGCATTTAATATAACACCTAGTTAACTAATTTGATTAGATTAGAAAAATTAGGTAAGTTAGTTAATTATAATAAATATGACATGTTTTTTTAAAACACTATAATTATCTTTTTTAATATCTTATCTCCATTTTCTATTTGATTATGATTGAGGGAGTATCAACAGAGGTAATTTAGAAAAATTGATAAACATGAAAACTAGGTTTTATATTTAGAACCAAAATCAACTCAACAATTAAGTCTTATATTAAGGATAAGAGGAGTACTTTATTTTAATTGCTAAAAATGCGGACCATTTTTTTAATTGTCTTAATTTAAGAAAATATCAAGAGTTACAACACAAGCTCGAGTTCAAATTTATGTGAATGTAAAATATAAACTTAAAAGATATCTATTCTTATTTGGCTTCGACAATAATCTAACATGCCCTGTCAAAAGCATTGCACAAAGAAAACTGCAATAAACATTAAGATTTTGGTATAATATTGCGTTTCTGATGGCATCAACGATTATGTTTGGTATTTTCATTTTTTTAGTTGTCATCATTGACCCAACAGAAAGAACTTAATCAGCTATTGTAATTTCGGAGGATCAAACTTAACCTTTTGCTTAAGCAATCACTTGAAAAAGGTACTTGGTGCCACAATAGAGCCAGACGGCTATGTTTGCATGATTAGAAATTTTCAACAGATGTGGTGAGATTTAACAAACTTCAATTATAAACATGGTTTTTTTTTTTAATTTCCACAGTTAACGTGGCTAAAATTAAGTTATTAAGATTTTAAGTTTTTAATTACATCTCTTGAAAGAGTTAATTACTGTAAGAGATGAATGACTTTACAAATTTCACACAAAGTTGTATTTGTTCACCTTAATTTTTGGTTCTAATGATGATCCTCCTCTATTTTTTTATAGTAAAAAAAAATTCAAAACGGTTAAAATCATTTCGTCCTTGCCTATTCTTCTCCAATTAAACTTGTGGGGCATGGGGCGCAGAGCATGGGTGGCTAGTGAGAAGGGACTTTATCATGTCATCTTCAAAACTACTTTGGCATTTGCTGTGTTATTTTGTATAGAAAAATGACTCTCATAATACACATACATACATATATATATGTGTCTGCAGTGCATGTGTGTATCCATAAGAAAGATAAGTACTACCTCCAGTTTTTAATATAAGAACTTGTTTAACTTTTATT